CAAATAACACAAATCCAACACATAAAACATGAGACCCGGTCGGCGTTCACAAAGGAAGCACTACTGTATTCCAGAACAGAATAAATAAGAATAGAATAGAGTCCGAACGCGCGCCGTCTTCGATCGCCAACACGCAAAAACGTTAGAGGAGAATGTCCAACCGCGTGAATGACGACCACTACCGAGCACAGGGCTGGGAGAGTCGATTCAACAGGACTACGAAGTGGTTTTGGTAGTGGGTTTAAAAAGTGCTGTCTTCTGTCACTAAAACTCGTGTCCAATTGGGACACACAGTTCCCCCTTACGAACCTGGGGTTATCATCCCACTTTTACCAGCTGTTAAGGCGCGTAGGCCCGGTGTTCTCGTTCTTGGTCTTCTTCTCAGAATAACACATACAGACACAAACACACATGGACACAAGATTAAAAGACCTTTATTCCTTTGTAAAAATATGAGATCAAAAGTAAGGCTACCAACACTCACTCTCACACTACTTTAGGGTACTTGGGACCACACAAGGTAGACCCATCTTTCCATTTGGAGAAAACTAACAGTACAACATATTCTCCGTCATTAAAAAGTCCTCGCGATTAATAAAAAATAAGTCTTTGCAGCTTGTACGATTTGTGTGTAGTCTTTATGAAAACACTTGTAACGTCTAAAGGTTGGCCGCATATACTTGTCTTGCAACAAGATGTGAAAGATCCTTTTGAACTGGAAAAATCCTCGGCCGTAGATCAAAAAGACAAGAACAACACAATACAACAAAATAATACAACAAAAGTTTGACCTCGTAACGGCAACAACAGTCAAGTCTGTACGGATTATCACCACTCATAAGTCAGCGAGAACAACGACCTCTCCAAATAGCACTAGGGACCGCTTAATAGGGTAAAAGATACACCTAATAAATTGTTCCAAAACTTTTGTGAATTACACTGTCATTCCCGACTGATATCAGGACTAATCCTCAACTAACACAAATCCATCCGCACCACCCACGCAACACACACCAAAATACCGAAGGAAATAACAAAAGGAAAAGAATAGCGACGACAGTAAAATGACGACATCTTGTAGTAATATAACCGGAGGGAGGGACTAGATGGTGGACGTGTTTAGATGGAGGTTTGATCGCGTGCGATAGATAGTACTGTTGTGTCGATGGGTGTATTTGTGTGTGTTTGTGTGTGGTGGTGTGCAAGTGTGTGATGTAAGGGTGGGTGATAGTGGTCCGTTGCGTGAGTCCGTCGTGTGGGGTTGGTGTGTTGTGGAGTGACGCGCGCTTTTTAGTTTCGTGCCTACTTATCCATTATGAGACCGATGACAGGTTACGGGACCCGCTATTTGACACATTCAGTTATTACTGCTTCTAGTACTTGTTAGATACACCCTCCAGTTTCGTAGGATGGCCCGTATACACGACAAACTGACCTTGGGGTTAATTATAACACTTGCACACGAATACCTAAGCGTGAGTAACGATTGGGCAGAAGAATTAAGTTAAGTCACACAGCATGCGCCGAGAAAGATTACCACAATGGAGCGACACCTGTGTTTGACCAACTACAAACTACCGGAGAACACAGTGGAACACTACCGGTACTACTTCGTCCGTACAAACCCGTCCCCATTAAAGTAATCTAGATACACCTCCTAGGTCTCCTATCGTACCACAATAGCGGACATAAAAGGCTTCTAGGGTAAAAAGCTGAAGTTTCCTTCTCGGTGGTGTATACTACAAGAAGCGGAGATGTATAGAATACCATAATATACAGATCTGTCACTGAATCTGTCCTATGTACCCCTTCATTGAAGCTATTTTTTCTGGTGATCTAACACACCCGTCAGCCTGTACATGACCAACACACAATTTACAATAGTATCGTAACACGAGAGAAGATAATGAAAAGGTTGTACAGTAGTTTACGTTACAGGCAAACAGAAGAGTGGATTGACCACAGAGAGATAAGTCTCAAGTTGGTGCTCGTCACTTTAAATTATGAGAGGCGGGCAATGGAGTGCATTCTCTCCTGTATTACACTAATGAGCGACAGTAGACCGGTTCACCGTTATATAGAGGAGGAAGACACAACAAGAAGACCAGGGAGCCCGCCCTCCACAAGACACATCATATTCGCGCATGGGGATTCGCCCATTAGGGTATATGTTTAGAGGGGTGTCCAATGGGCACAGTGTTTTACGATGCTGGCTCGAAGATTGACTTATCCTGCAATAAGGTTCACATAATCTTGGAGTCTCGTCAGTACGCGGTCCACTCAATTGGTGTTTGTTGAACGTTGTGGGCGACTGAAGAGAAGTAGTAGTAAGCACTTAGGGAGATTACTGGGCACACACTCACGTGCCTTGCTTAATACTCCTGGATCTCCTAACAGCGGTCAAAAAGTTAGAAACACACTCACAGGCTAGACCGACATCCGGTTCTCTTATTTCTGATCGCACTACATCCACATCTTGCATGATTTATGGACAACGTTTTCATCAAAGTGATCGACCTGTATTCGAAATCTAGATCAGTCCCGGTTTCAACTAGTATGAAGAATCCGTTTCTGGCTACCCGACGCAAACCCATCTGTACGTTGTGCGTAGAAATCCGCCTAGGGATGAACCAAGCCTATCCAGAACACGCCTGTTATTGTGCCAACTTGGTCATCGGTTTTTACATCGTGAGTTAAGCAAAGACACGATCTCTTTTGTCGCCACAACTCTGCTATGACTAGAATGGCCGCTCTACCAGGTAGACGTAAAATAACCGACAGACACGCAAGATGGAGGGTGCCATTTGCGCTGGGTTAGTAGCAGACTTAACACGAGAAAGACGAGCCATACGTCAACTATTTGCTGAGGACAAGTCTTAAGACAAAAAACAGTCTTAGTATAGTTCTTCTCTGGATCTTCCGTTTTACCAAGAAATATCAGAATGGGAAGGCAAGGTTATACACACGCTGACTAGGATGGACTTGCGCTGCGAGAGCTTATCTTCTATAGCTAAAAGTAGTTATGATAGCAGTATAACCTGTTCTTGCAAAACCGCCCAACACGATTTCGATGCATTGAGGGATCTGCAAGGCAATCAGCAATCGTTACCGTAGAGGTAGTGAATGTCATCTTGTACTCGATTCCACACTGAGTAACAACAACAATTTTTAGAACTGAAAACAAATGGTAAACAGAAAAAAAGTATGGTAGGGTACGATTAATGTCAGCATATCTACCGTCAACGGACTGGCCCCCAAATGTAATAGAATAGAATTTGTGTCTTGTCCCGTTAGCCCTTATACCAATGTATTTGAGAAGATTTTTTGCAAGTTAACCCAAAAGTGTAGGTGTACAAGCAGGCGACCATAGAGAGAACACGTATAGTCTACTATAGCTAAACAGTCAGGGAAACACAACCTGTTTCGTTCGAGTTACGGTCTACATATAAATCACCAAGAATTATGTAACCGTAGAGTCGGGACCTCAGCCAGTCGTATTTTCCACTGTGGACGAGTAAGACACTGAAGTTTAACTATAAATAGTAGGAAACGTTGAGTTGACACACCTCGTCCCTTTATCCTAATCCTACAACACAGTAGTACAGTACGTTCTGGTCAAGATAGAGGAGAGCTGACATAAAGATTACAAACACCGTGAATCGGTGAAACCAGAAGGTTGAAGTGGGTACCCCACTGGGTGTTGACCCTTTACATTATTTGACCTATAATGATACCATTGCAGAAACAACTACAAATCAAAGTAACTCCTTTATCACCACACGAATGTGACTATCGCTAAAGTATAACTGATCAGCAATCGAACTGTAATCGCTGACAACGGCCTAGCACACATCATTGTCTTCGACCCTGTAATTGTTGTCACCGAGTAGAGCTTAACAATATTAACTCCTATATCGCAAATAGAGTGGTACTCCAGATGCCGACCTCTCACACTGTAGTTCCTGCTGTGATATGTCCCTATGTACGTAAACTTGTTAACCCTCCCTGCGTAAGTCTGACACACGTCGGTAAGTGGTCCTACTCGTATGGTAGTAGTAAAGTAAGACAGCACGGATGAGAGTATTCAGACGTCTAAATCATCTTCTTCCAACGCTTCCCGGGGACTAAAACCTCTCCAACTGTAGTACGCAAGGAGACAGAAACAGATGACAACGGTGTACACAAGAAACTTGTTCCCTCGATTAGTTGACGGCACGACAAACCAACGTACCGAAGGTTTTAAGCGGGGATTCCCCTGAGAACAGACGTCCACATCAGCTCTCTTATGAACGTAGAGACCGACGACTGCACAAGATTAACCGTAATATTCCTACTGTAAAGGCAAGATTACCCGTGTAAAAAACAGAGAAATACGGATCCCTATCGTCAAGCAGTATGCTTTGTAGCGACGAGGTCACAAAACACATAAGATTCCTGATGAACTCTTCCTTCTTAAATCTATAACGACAAAAAATCACTTGAACGTTTACGAACGATCTACAGATGGTTACCCAACCGTCCGTCCAATCATCATCTAACCAAGCGCGCAGACCGTGTGATATTACCGCTACAAGAATATGGCGTCCCAATTTAGCCCTCCGATTTTCGCCGACGGTGCCAGGTTAGTAACTCATTCCACTTTGGACTCGATGATTGTGGATGTCCCTCTACGGTGGGATCGATTGTATGGATCATATAACACGGAAGAGTTTTGACATGTTAGTTTATACTCCCTGTGGGAGTTTGTCTATCTCCGCTGCTTCTCTGTTAACAGAACGGAACCCGAAATACAGCGTATTACACACATCTAAGTAGTGCGATATTAGTCCTAGGAAGCAGATCCGGTAGAGGGAAATAAAGGCTAATCTATACCACGAAATGAGTAATACCGTAATCAATTTAACGAAGGGTTCACACATCTCCCACAGAACCAACACGAACCGGCTCTTCGCCCAATGTCGACACGACGAGTACGATCCCGTCTCCTCCCCTTTGAAAACATTACTATAACTCTTTGATAGCCCAAGTATTTACGATTTACGGTCCCCAGGGGACACATGACTGTTGTGATGTACTGGTCTGTGACGAGAGCCTGGACACAGTCTCCGTCGCCCCGTTTACGAGTCAAACTAATTCTGGGATAGTAGCAGATGGTGGTTTGTCTGTTGTCTGAACGGCGAGATAGTTCGTTTCTCATGGCCAAAGCACACATTTATGCAACACGACACCGACGCGGACACAGACTGTGAAGCTCATAGTATACGCTGCAAAGCGTACACAACTGCGTCAATGCAAAACGACTCTCGATAGGAAGAGAATAACGACACACAACCGCGAGAGCTTTAATTGTGACGGAGGTAATATGTGACTGTGAGTGTACTCCCAGTGACCCAATAAAAAATAACGATCAAAGAGCGGTTTGACGTCCCAAGATACTTCCAAAAATAAGTTCAGCTGGTCTGAGAATGAATAAAAGCCTTTTTGATGATACTGGGTTGCAGTCACAAGCCACACCTCCGTTAGACACATTACATATTCGTTTACGAGAGAAAACTGTACATTAAAAGTGCAGCAAAAAGAGCAATTAAACATCCACATACAACATGAAACGTAGAAACATAGAAACATAGATGGTCACACAATCAATGCAATTATTATTAGCAGTATTTAGTAGTTAGTAGTGCAAAAAACAAAAACGTAGTGGCAGTTACGTAATTGCACGTTATCATAGCATTATTAATAATACTAATAATACAATATAATATTGCACATAGTTATATATATATAGCAGCGAGTGTATTGCAATGATGTAATTATATTGATATGTATATTGCACATAGTGTTGGTGTGGAAGTTCTCAGTGCCCTTTACTTAGGGGTGAAGAGTTAAAGAGTTTGATTGCCACTGGGAGGAAAGACCTCCTGTGGCGCTGTGTGGTGGTTATCGGTGATCTCAGTCTGTGGCTGAAAGTGCTCCGGTAGGAAACCAGTGTGGCATGCAGGGGGTGAGACCCGTTGTCCAGAATGCAGAGAAGTTTCCTCAGCATTCTCCCCTCCGACACCATTGCCAACGACTCCTGATCCACTCCCAGGACAGAGCCTGCTCTCCTGGTGAGCTTGTTGAGTCTATTGGCATCAGCTGTCTTCATCCCGCGGCCCCAGCACACTACAGCAAAGAAGATCACACTGGAGACCACCGAGTCATAAAACATCTGCAACATAGTGCTGCAGACGTTAAAGGACCTGAGTCTCCTAAGGAAATACAGGCGACTCTGGCCTTTCTTATATAGGGCGTCAGTGTTTTTACTCCAGTCCAGTTTATTGTCTATGTGGACAGCCAGGAACTTGTAGCTGTCCACAATGTCCACATCCATGCCCACGAAGGTAATTGGGCTTGGGGCGGTACTCCGCTTCCTGAAGTTAACCACTAGCTCCTTACTTTTTGTGACGTTGAGCTGCAGGTGGTTCTGACTGCACCACTCCACAAAACTGTCCACCACACTCCTGTACTCAGCTTCCTGATCTCTGATGATACAGCCCACAATGGCAGAGTCATCTGAGAATTTCTGCAGATGGCAGGAATGTGAGCAGTGTCTGAAGTCTGATGTATAGACTGTGAACAGGAAGGGAGAGAGGACCGTGCCCTGAGGAGCGCCCGTGCTGCTCAATATAATGTCAGAGGTGTTATTCTGCAGCTTCACGTACTGTGGCCGAGCAGTGAGATAGTTGGTTATCCAGCTCACCAGTGGAGCGTCCACCTGCATGTCCAGTAGCTTACTGCTGAGCAGGGCAGGTCTGATGGTATTGAAAGCACTGGAAAAGTAAAAGACATGACTCTCACAGTGTTACCTGCCTTCTCAAGGTGTGTGTGTACTCTGTGCAGCAGGAAGATGATGGCGTCCTCCACTCCAATACGAGGCTGATATGCAAACTGCAGGGGGTCTAGTGATGGTGCGACCACTGTACGGAGGTGTTTAAGGACCAGCCTCTCCAGCGACTTCATGGCATGTAATGTCAAAGCCACCGGTCTGTAGTCACTGTGTGTGCGTGGATGTATCTTCTTCGGCACAGGAACCAGGCAGACCATTAAAGAGGGGGTTTCATCCCTCCCATTCTATAGTACTTGGGTTCGAAACCCGAGCCCGCCAAAGTTTTCAGAGTCTTCCCCTCTATCTCTCAATTTAACACCCTCTCTGGAATAAAGGCACTCTTTAAAAAATCTGGGGCCGCCAATTAAATAGCCCTGATGTAGGCTATTCTTCTGTTGGATTTATCGTATACATATAGTGCACATACAATGACCACATGATCTGTGTTCATATATTTGGAGGCATCATATTTCAAGGCTTGGTACAATCGGTAAGCTACAGTTCATGAAGGTTTGAAGTTTGTTAACTGACATGCATCAATTAAGGCTACATGGACATGTTGGGTTAACTTTCCAGAAGTTAAAACAATACACATTTTCGATATTCTGTAGAAGCCATTGTAGATATGTCATTTGAGCAGCATCTCTATTCCTTCTAGTTCTACAGGAAGGCATCCAGACTTCCCCAACATCTGGACAAAAGAAGGGATGCCCTGCCCTGGCCGTGGTGCAGGGCCATGGACAACGGGTTGGGAACGAAAAGGGGCTTGCCAGGTGCATCCAAAAACATCTGGAGCCTTCAACAGATGTGCAGAGCAAACCATCTGGAGAAGTGTTTCTGCTGACAGATTGCTCTGTGGCAAATATCTTACTTGACCATAACATCGTTCAAGAGCGATGACAGATCAAGAGACTGAAGTGAAAGTGTTCACAAGGTTGGCTGACATTGTGAAATATAACTTAAAAATGCTTACAGCAATAATGCACTGACAGTATTTCATTGACCTCTACACAGATTTGTGACCAATAAAAAGCTGACGCCTGAAAAATCATTGAGGATTTCGAATGCACACAATATTTCTTCAAAAGTCTTGTTCCAGACCTCTGAAATACTTCCCACCTTTCACATTTGTTCAATGATGACTTGATGAACAAGTGTTGAGTTTTGAGGATGTCACTTTCCTACTTGAAAAAAAAGAAGTGATTATCTAATAAATAGCATTAGACATTAGCTTTTTAGTATGAACCCAGTCTCACGGCATTTTGTGTAATAGTCACGAAATTAATTTAATCTATTGATTCGTGTTCACCAACACGATTTTCCCCTTTTTTCGTGTCACATAGAACGATTTTAAAAGCAATGTATTTCTATTGGTAGCGCCCTTACGTGCCTGCACCACGTCTTTTTGTCCGGTCGGGTCATAAACATTTTTTCTTACTCAATATCAAGCCACGATTATTGTTTTTATTTTAAATTGTATAATGTCGGACTTTGCTTTCCGTCCACGAGGAAAATAAATGGGGCTCAGAGCCTCAGAATACTGAAATCTGTATTTTTAAAATCTTTTTTTCCATATAATTTGTTATTATTTGGTGCAGACACGAAACATACTACCAATAGAAATACATTGCTTCTAAAATCGTTCTGTGTCAGAATACTGAAATCTGTATTTTTTTTATCTTCTTTCCTTCTAATTTGTTATTATTTACATTGCTTTTAAAATCGTTCTGTGTGACACGAAGGAAATGGGGAAATCATGTTGGTGAACACGAATCAATAGATTAATTTCGTGACTATAACACGAAATGCCGTGAGACTGGGTTGACTAATCCATTGGTCATCAACCTTTTTTATAAAATCATTACATTATAGAATGTTCAGTGATCTCTTTGACCTAAAATTATAGCACACCTGATCGTTTCCATGTCTCACAAGGAAAATAATTAATATGGGTTGTTAGGTATTTTGTTAGAAACAGTTGTAACTATAACTTGGGATACAAATTAGCAGGTTATTGTTTTGCCACTAATGTGAGATTACGATCCAGTACACGTTTTATTCTATGTAAAATACATAGATCAGGGTAATAGTATAGTGTCTAATTTACATCTGACTCAAACAGTGCGCCTTGGAAGTCACTTTATCTTATGAGGACACAATATATAAGATGCAAATTGTAATCACTTAAACAACCAGCAGAGGATGATCACCTCAGGCCAGACTGACAGGTTGTTTATGAAAACCCCTCTTGGGTCTACTGAAAGCAATGAAAAGCAATAAAATCAACCAGTCTGGGACACGATAAGGACCAGATGGCCAGCTGCTGAATGCTAGCTGTCTTCACTTCTCTGTTGATTTATCCTTTCCGTCTGCACTTCACTTGCTTTTTCACTTAGGGATGAGGAATCACTATTCCTACCTCAAAACTGACAGTCACCTCTGGGAAGCCATCATATGATTAATGACTTTGTAAAGCTACTGGAAGTTTGGAGACGGGTCAAATTTGGTGTTCACTCCAAATATGTTTACAAAATTCCTCAATATCAGTGTTTGTTTGCAAGGAGGGGTTCGGTGACGAGCAAAAAACATGGACGTTAGCCATCCAAGGTCCAAAGCAGCAAAGTATCGTCTCTCTGGGGACAGAGGGTTGACAGTGATGAAGAATAGATGTTCCTCCAAGGAAAATAAGGAAGGGCAGATTATGGAAACCTCCTGTCTCCTGATGATATGCTATGCCTATGCTCTTAAGACAGACGGATGTAGAGAAGTATCAGGTATGTGTCAAGGGACCTTGATACATTTTGACATCTCAGAAACAATATTTATGTTACATTTTAACAGTTACTGTGCACAATAATATAATACAAGAAGCCAATTAAGTGATATTCGTGTGTCAAGTAGGACTTTCGACAGTCAGGCCTAGGTGGATAAAATCAATCCACCAGAATCCAACTTTCAACCAGGTTTCAAAATGCTTACGACATATTTTTATAATAAATCCACATTGTTTATTCCTAGGTTTACATTTCTTGAAGCGTAAAAACATCATACTTTGAAAGCAGATATGGGCATGATGAGCTGTTGGCCCCTGGGAATTTCAGGTAAAACTCTACATTAATTTTCCTCACCTAAAATGTATCCTCCAAAGAAAAATGTCTTGCACTATAATTTCAAACTTGCTATAGGAATCGCTGACAGGTGATTACAAATTAAAAGAAGTAGACTTGATGGCCCCACTGTGGATGCCCTTGACCCATGAAATTGAATGTGGTGTGGCTGTAAATTCACCAACAGTTGAGAACCTGTGGCTTTTTAACACCCATCACATTAGTGTGTGTCTGAAGGCCATAAAAAAAGAACTAAGTGGCCCTTCTGTGGTTGGCAGAAAAGTTGCAGTCACAGCATGGCACCACTACCAATTACCAGTTGAAAAACACAAACTCAGATGCAGCAAAGATTTTATAGCTGGTCCCATATGGACCATGGTATAGTTAACAGTTTACAACGCTTGATTAACTCCTTCTGGCAACGTTTGGTGTGTATGGTGAGTATTGGGGTTTGTTGACAGATTAAAAGCCCTTTGTCTGCATCCAATTCAAACAGTCTTTAATGGTATTTTCATCAGAGATCAGAGTTAGGGGGAGATAAAACAAATTAATGTGTGATGTAGTAAAGAAATTCATGACAAATTAATAAGATAAATCAAAGGGTATGTACTTTATTAAAACATTTCAGCTTAGTTTCAATGATATGCGAAGCGTCGATTAAACCGCTGTCACAGAGAGACGCTGTGATTCCCCTGTGTATAATGTGCGGTACACATTAGTATGGTAATGTTTTTGATGCAGCTATCATATTGTAAGCATTATCTGTTTCTACAGTGGCGACCCTGTTCGCTATCTCCCACTCCTGCAACTTCAATAAAATGGCTAGCACATGCTTCAGTTAAATGCTTCCTCCCGTTTTCACAAAACCTAAAGAAAACGATTGCAGATCATTTCTCATCGATCAAGTGTCCCATTACACTGAGATAGGTGGTTCTAACTGATGTCCAGTGGTTTTCAGTCAATACATGTAGAATGGATGTTAGATTACGACTATACAGTATGAGTTTTAATCCTTTACGGGATTATTACGATCCTCTTAATTTTTCTTTAGCGTCTAGGAAAAAACATCTGCAGAAAGAACTCTCCATTGCAGGTCTACGGAAGAGGATTAGGGCAGTTAAAGATGGTTTTGTGACAATCTGACACTTTAGTTTAAGAATGACTTTAGTCTCTTCATGGACCATGCTGGCAATTTAAAAAAAGCTACATTAAGGAACGACTCGGTAAGTGATTCTTATTAACATGTTGAAGTGTTTTTAAACTATATTCTTTCATGGTTTGATTAATACCTTTACTCTCTATCTAGTTTCACATATCCAAACAGAAACAGGTGTTGTTTGTACCCAGGCTAGGCAAGATACTTTACGTGACTACTTCTCATAACAGTTCCAAAAATAGAGCGGGAAAGGGGTTAAATATAGTTCATGTCATTTTATTTTGGATTGGATGACTCTGTTAAAGTGCACTGTTACTTCTAGGTTGTGAGAGTGGTGTACAGTTGCCCTGATTGCTCAATACAACCTGAGAAGCAGTAGCTCTGCACATTCGGGCAGTAATAGGAGAACTGATAGCTATCTAGATGACGCTGTATGTGAAATGAGTATTTGTGTATCCAGGTTTTGAGACTCATCATTTAGCATCAATTTCAAAATTCATCCCTTTTCCCATTCTTCAGGTTAGGTTCTTCATTAGCAAATACCTCAGTTTTGATGCAGAAAATGTCAAAAACAGTAAAACAGGTGGTTGAAGAGACAGCTGGCAATATGAACCATTGCTGACCTTTTAAATAGTGTTGTCACATGGTCAAAAGATGATCATCAGTTAGTCCTACCTAATTACTCTGATGTGCCCCTTGGGTGACGAAGGCAGCATGTAAAGAGTAGACTCTGCTGCTGCACACATTTCTGGACACGAGCAAGTGAGGAGCACGTATCCAAGAGTGAGAAGTATCAAACAAGAGCCCATGCAGGCAGGAGTGAGGGGAGAAGGGTGAAAGGAGGGACGGGGGTCCTCACTGGCATTCATCCCCTTCCCAGAGGCACTTTGTAGAGTGTTGGCTCTGAAGCAATGCTGAAGCCATCTGTGGGTTCTCTCAGCAGAGGCCACGTAAAACAAGACGTGTGCTGTGGTTTGACCTTTCACGGTCCTAACTATAATATTATCATAAGACGAGAGCTCTGATTGCACTCGTCCCTGCGGTGGGATTCGGTGTCCATATGAAAAGGCGATGAGTGAAAACCTTGCATGGCTATATGTTTTCCTGTTATCCAAATGTGGTAAAAGGACATAACCAAATGTTCTCAAATTAAATCCTGTGTTTAGGTACCACCACTTCTTGAGGTTTATAGAACATTTTTAACTAATCATATAATAACTAATCATCATTATAGCTTTGCCAGCCATCTCTTTTTTAAAGTTTTAAAGCAAAGTCTTTCCCCACAGGAAACATCACGCATTACTGAGCACCAGAATGATGCAGTAAGAGACTAATGTCTTTAGGAAGTGGCACCACCACAAGTTAGCACAGTGTCAAGGATTTTATAAACTTTGTGGTTGAAATTACAGTGCAAATTTCTAAAGCATTTGATACAGCTAGGGGTAATATACAACTATCTGTCAATACTAACGGCCGAGCAGCTGGCACTCATTGAGGGAAAATAATTATGGGTAGTAGCTGGCAGTGTACAGTGGCTCCGAGCTTGCCAATACCCATTCCAATGGTACCACAATGAGGCTCAGGGGCTGCAAGAGACCCTGGCTTTGGGACCGAAAGAGTCAGGTGTCACTCTGTGGGTGGAAGACGCTGTTGTTAATCCAAGAAAATGCAAACTATGGTAGAAATCAATTTACAAAACCAAAACACAAATGTGTAATAGTTGGTACCCTTGCAAAGAGCAAATCTGTTTATGAACTAGATCAATGTCTACATTTTTTGTACATCCGGACTAATTTGTATTTAGTGGGGTTAAAATAGTATTTCTCTGAGCCATCTTCTGAAAAAGGTTATTGGATTTACTTTTGTTGCACAATTCAAGGAATACTTTAATGGTACATAAATTGACAATTGTTACCCTGCATGTGTTCCTTTGAATTCTTATAGAACTTAATTTTATAAAAAAAACTTTTGATGGATAGAAGAAACTATTTCAAACACTTCTGCACCTTTAAGTGTGACCAGACCAATGTCTTTTCTTTACAAATCTCTAGGGCCAGATTTACCAGTTACCTGATAAAAAGCCATGAGAATCGGGCTGTTTCAACACAATCATACTATACATTCATATAGTGAATAACACACACCTGAATCTGGTCCTCAACTATTGGCGACTGATGTAGTTCTGTCAAATAAAGTTATTTATTGTGAAATGAAAGAACAAAATGAAAAGCACAAAATGTTAACAAATACAGTCTTTTGTGTTCTGTTTGTAACAATGTTGGACATCATCTGAGATAGAAACATATCAAGTAGCTGACATTGAAGATAATCAGCTGCGTTAAAATGAGACAGCTGGATATTGCACCTCTGTGATTTTTTGTATTAAGATGTGTTCTTACAGCGCTAAAGGCTTCAGCAGAGCTTTAGCCTCCTGGTCAGTAGACGGGACATCAGATAGATGTTGGAGAAACGGTCGTCCATGGATGCAGCTCCGGGTGCTCTCTCCAAGCTGCTGATCCATCCTTACGAGAGTTTCCTCCACATCCTCCCTGGATAAATGTGTAGGTAACTGACGGGCAAGTCGTACTGCTTCACCCTGTGAATCACAATTTAGATATTTAATAACATAAACACCAGTAATGCCATTTGTTATTAATGTATAGCATCTCTTACTTGTAGGTAGTTTGTGACTTTAAGTGGCCGGCACTCTTGCACGGTCTTAGCCTTCTTGTGAAGAACTGCAGTCAGGATCTCCCTGAGGTCCTCCACACCGAGGAAAGGCACGCAGTCTGCCATTCCTGTCACTTCCAGATGTCTCTCGTCTGAGGTGAGGCCTGGCCAAAACAAGCAGAAAACAAGGATTAATATACTCCAGACGCCACTACTATCTCCAGGAAAGAATAATAAATAAATATTGTGGTTTACGATGGGAGTGATGACCAAGTTAAACAAGCGAGGGGCCAAATGGAGTGTTAAATGACTAATAGAAGCCCCAGCAGACTGGAAGGAAGTTGTCTTGTAGGGTAGAAGAATGATAGCTTCTCATTTCATGAGGAAATACTGCAAATCATGAACGATTTATATTTCCGATACACGTCTTTGGATGCAAAATGAACTCAGAATGGCTTGAAAAAAAACCTGGAGAGGCAATTAAAAATATTTCTCAAATATTTCTGTGCTGCCTGTGCATAGTCTGACACATTTGCCTTTTAAAATGTATGCAAAGAGTAACACTTGTACTTATTGGGAATAGCATGTTAAACGCAATACAAATATTTACAAATTGACAGTATCTGCAGGATCACATTATACACAATACAATATTACTAGATAATAAACAATATGACACATGTAATATAATCATAAGAAATGGACAAGATATGCAGCAGAGATTGTGCTATGAAACCATCTTAGATGTGCCGCTACCTTCACTCCCATGCACACCCACCGAGGCTGGCAGTGCCAAATGAAAATTCCTTGAATATCTCAAAGGGCAACCGTTCTCATCACCTGCACACTGGGGTACCGACCCACTGTGAGCGCACTCTGTCAGGCAGAGAGCCAATGTCAACTGAGGTGAACCGTTCCAGCAATAAAAAATAACCAACACATGTCATCATTATACAAAAAACAAGTTTAATTGGAGGTGTTCTGGTTTATTTGTCCGTTATTTATATTGACCTTACTTTTGACTTTGTTTAATACAGCCTATACACTGTTTTTTGCAGAGCAATCCGTGAATACATTGGATTTGGCTTTCATAAAGAGAATGATGACTTCTGAACAATTATTTGCATATGTTATACTTGCAGCAATATTTTAACTGGTTGTTTAAATGTACCAGATTATTGGTAAGTATGACTGAATCTCTAAGTGTTATGTCCCTAAGATAAAAATACATGTGTGCGCATAAAGATTTTGTGGTCAATGTACATAATGTTATGTATGGTTTTAATGTTTCAAAGTTATGACATTCGCCTTGATTTATTGTAAAGACAAGGTTTACATTGGTTGGTATTGTCCTTTCATGATTTACAACTTTGCTTATTCATTATTTGCTATTTTTCATGATGGACATTCTTTTTAAAAGGAATGGAAATGTTTTTCCAAGACAATCAGGAATAATTGCCTGTTATCCAGTTACCTGAAACTGTATGTTTGATTTTTCTAAGTGACTGGTGAACTATGACATTAAATGACAACAAATGGCTCCAACATTTGGTAAATAAAACAAGGCCATCCATGAGATCTTTAAACAGCGTGATTTATAAGAAAGGCTTGTTCTCATATTGATGGTGGGAAAGGATTCATATTCAATCAAATAAGACTGCTAATACAGCAGCATTTGGTCCACATTTATTTACAATGTACCTGGAGTGAATTGGATTTTAAAGCCATTAGCCACAAGCCTGGGATCAGAGAAGAGGGCCCCTCCGTGTAGCTCAGGGCTTTGTTTCTCCATGTTCCACAAAGCCTCAGTATATTCAGCCCCCCCGAGACTTCTATAAAGAGAGACAAGGTGAGGTTTAACAAACACATTAGGGAAGCCTTAATAGAAAAAAATGAATCAGGATTTGTTTTTCTTAAAAATAGTCTGAAACATACATATATGTAAAGAAAGTGGATGAGTTTGCAGTTTTCTGGAAAAAACAACTCAGGCTTGACATTTTGCTGGTGAGAAGTGAGTGATACGTTACCCATCTGCTAACGGTATAGGGTTCTGCAGACTCACTGCTGGAAGTATATTATTCTCAAGGAGTCTCTTAAACAGCAAGCTTTCCTCCACCCGAAATGGGTTTAACAACATGAGCCTCTGACCACATAAAATGACCCAGGCGCTGTGAGAGGCCAGCCGGTTTACAAGACGGAGGCCCCGTGGCACTGTGCTGCTCTGGGATGAAAGGCGCTGGAGCTGCAGCCGAAGGGCAGCTATGCTGCAGGGGAGGGGCTGCGAAGACTTCAGTGCAGGGCTCCTCATCTTCTTTTGGGGCTGTACACAGAAGAGCTCATCCAGCAGCTGCTGGTTGGACAGCGGGGCCTTGCGTTTGTGGCCCTGTGCATGGCCCCTTGGGCTGCTCACACTCGTCTCTCTGGGGCCTTCAGCAGAGGCCAACCTGGTCTTCTGGTCATGGTGCTCCAGGTGTTTTTTTGCCTTCTCCTCATACCTGCAGAGTTCAACCAAGTATTTTAGACTAAAACCTAGACCAGTGTCGAACCAATTTGGAATCTATCCCAATTTCCTTCCCAGCATGCACTGATTTGGACATTTGTATAATAAAACATACCCAGGCTTCTAGGTAAAAGCTAAATAAAAGGAACTTCCCATTTCACACATGAAGTTTGGTTATTACCTGTCCCCTTGTGTGTTATGAAGGTTTTTATGAATGTAAATGTTCTGAGTCAAAACCCTTAAAGTACACCCTGTAGCGAGTAAAACTCTAACACAGAAAATACCTCCCCAAAACGCCTCGTTGGAGATACGTCACTGTCCATTGATTCTTGCGGGTAACTCATGATGTCATGCGTTACCCGGAACCAAATGGACCAATCCGTGGAGCCGTTACGTTACGTCCGCGGAGCCGTTACGTTAAGCCCCCGCTGATTGGTCCAAATTGACCAATCCACAGACTTCCCCACATACACACTCAGTGCAGGCAGCTCTGCTGATTTCTCCTCCCTGGCTGCAGGCTGATAACAGACAGTTGGGATCGCAGCGAAATTCTCTCTGCAGACCCATTCTCACAGCGTTTATCAACCTTTTTCTTACTCAATATCACACAGGGGATAGGTTTTACTTTTTCGGCTGTGATTTGTGTGTGCTCAGGGTGAGTTTGGATGGGTTTCGCTGTGTATCGCTAAACAAGGAAACCACACCTCCACGGAGCTCAGCGCGATTCACAACGTCCCGACCAATCAGAGCACGCTGTGCTCACAGGGAGGGTGGGGGCTGGAGCTATTGGAGCTACAACGAGCCGTTAAAGGCAGAGAGTGAAATTCAGTGAATACACGTAGTTTACAGAGATGCTGTATGAGAAACCAATGTGAGTTTGGAAAATTGCACAATATAAATCTATTCTAGTAGACCTCAACAATGGAATTATGATCAGTGGAAATGGCCATGACATGGGATCTTTAACTACTCAATCTGCAAAAACCTTAAAATAATGTCTCCTGTGGCTCTTTTTTCCAAAGTGTGAGAGAAAATACCCCTTAATGATGTCATCGGGGTTATCTTGGATTGGGCTTGAAAATACGTTTTTGACAAGAGCCAGCATTGGATCATTAAAGTGCAGATACAGTAAAGTCCAATAATACAAAATCAGGATATTGCTTCTTCTTCATTTCCACTGATCTTGATTTTACCTTTATTTTGTTAGGCTACCAACTTTATGGAAGTGCAACCACATAAACATAACTTGTAACAACTATTCTGTGTTAAAATCGGCTGGGGGACACAGATGTTAGCAGACGGTGGGCAGCTAAGTTCTGTAAACATTATTTAAAAAAGTAAATAATAAAGCTAACAGCTGACATTGTTAGAGGTTCCGTTGAGTTGCATTACGATACGTTCAAGCTCAATACAAAATGAAAATTGGCAAATTATATTGCTGTAAAATGTTGTTTTTGTCAATACAATATATACATATTAGAAAGAGAATTTTGACCTGGTTCATAATACAAGTTCTAAACATCTTGTAATATATAATTAAACAAACACAAATAAATACAATCATTTATTCACTAACCATTTCAGTTTTGCAAAATACCACTAGATGACAATAGCAAAGTCAATCATAACATTCCAAATCTTTCTGACTATACATACCATTTTGTTCCTGTTGATAAGTTATTATTACATTTATTTTCTACAGTTTAGCAAAGCAGTTAAGGAGCCATCTGTTGATGTCTACAATTTATAAAAAGGAATATATTTATAAATATAATCTTTTACCTTGTTCTTAATAGAGAGCTTTCCTCAGCAAATCAGTATTCTGACTCATGTTTCCGTGGATTTTCATATGTTCAGCATTAGAACTTACACTTCAGCACCCCATTATTCTAAGAACCTGTTTCGTGAACTCGTGCAAGTATAATTCCTAGAAGTGGTCAGCCACTTAACAGTGGCGATGAAAGGAGTAAAGTCCTTGCCACATCTTATTTCATGTTTAAGACAGCCGTACGTCGAGCCAGGATTCTAAACAGATGTCTTTTTCCATACACTCTTCGATACCTTACATAAGGCCCCAACTAGTGCTGATGCACATTTTCCAACTTTGCAATTACTTTAAATTGGTATACAGTAATCATAATTAGGTTGAAGTGCGTTCAGCGCGGTATAACGGTGTTGTTCCATGATGCAACTTACAGAGTAGCTGAGTGGATAGAGATCAGTAGAAAGCACAGTTTGTGCTTTCTTTTACCGACATGGCATCTGGACTGTATCAACAAATAACGATGACACTGTCAAGATTCACCTCTCTCCTATTACATTATAAGTATTGAGACAATCAATTGATTGAACCTTAAGCATGGAATGCGCGCTGTGCTATGCTATTTGACCTGCGAATGGCACCAGTTTGTGAATGTTTTGTATACTTAGCTGTCAGACTCCAGACGGAAGCAAACGCAGATCATGAGACTTGATAATGACACTATACTTACAAAAATACATATTTATCCGATCATGTTTATACCTTCATAATTGTAAATCACTTGACCCTGAGTGAGCAAGGGTCAAACACAAACACTCGTTACCTCCATCTGTTCTGTACCTAATCTGTTCGTGACTAGCCAACTATTGTAAAGTAAGCATAGTTGAGCTTTGCAATACAAAATGAACTGGAACCTGGGAACAGGACATTTAGATATTATACTAATGTTGTGCTTTTTAAATTAGAAATGAAATATCATATATAAAAAAGGGAATATTTGGTTTATATCAGCTAATGTCTCTTAAATCTAGTGTCTCTATGGATGTCTCTGTTCAGGGATCATTGTAGGTTTAGGAAACAAACACACATTCACTCGGTTTAATAATCTTATTCTTATGATTCTTAATACTTTGGAAATAGAAGACATTTCACGATTAGTGATATCTGCCATACTGCGGAAAATGTCATCTACCCTAGCCCCTATTAGATGCGGTTGTCTGGAAATAAAAAAATACAGCTCGTATCAACAGCATTTCCAGACTGGGCTTTTACACATGCAAATGACAGGTCAGACTTTCCCCCCTTGCTCTGCCTTGCAAATAACAAGAAATGGAAACAACTGCTTGGAAAGGTGAAGGTCTGGAAACTCACTTCTTACGGTCTTCCTCCCTCAGATTTTTCCACCTCTCCTGAACTGTGACGCTGATATCCTGCAGGCTGGCTGTAGGTTTCTCCCTGAGGACGTCTGTCCTGGCCTCCTTCTCGAACAGGGCGGCGGGGGTCAGTGGTGCCCTCATGGCACGGTTGCTGATCAGGTCGTAGGCCGTCAGAGCGGCCCGCTTCTCCGTTATGGCGTTGAGCATCTTTTTGTTTGGGCTGCCATGACTCTTGGCCTTATCTGAGTCTGAATGATTGTTCTTTAAAGGTTGGTGGATGCTGACGGGCTGCAGGGGTTCACCTGATACAGGGTCGATCAAAGCCGCCCCTCGGCTCCAGTCTTCGGCAGATATCTCGTCGTTTCTCGTGTCTGCACCTGACACAGCAATGTCTTCAAGTCTCTCAGGGGACTTGCTTGTAGTCTGGGCTGTTTCATCATCATAGAGAGAAAAGCTGGAGTCGAACCTAGCTGGGATCTGGTTTACAATCCAGTCCTCGGCTATGGAGGATGAAGAGCTGCCGTTTGAGGTTGGGCGGTCCAGTGAAGCGTCAGTGCTCAACGGAACTGTGTCAATGTGTTTAGGTGCATCTTTGAGGTAGGTCTTCTGTAGCTTGGTGAGACTGTCATCCCTCTCTACACTGTGTTCATTGTCCGGTTGTAAAGCCTCAGTCTGCGAAGGACTGGACGGTGTGGAGGATGTGTGATAGGCGAGCTGCTTCGCTGTTGGGGCATCATTACACCGATAGCCATAGAGAGAAACTAGAAACACCTCCACTGCGGTCAGCACAGCCTCCTACATATCAGATGGATCACAGAGCGTAAAAAACTAATAAAATGGCACCAAAACATGTTCATCAAGGAACAAATATTTCTACGCTGATGGAACACCAACAGTCAAAAATAAGGCCAACATAATACATTCAGCCCGCTTGCGGAGAATAACATAAATAGCAACATTACGTGAGTCTGTTATTTTTTACATGATAAAGACTGTATTTTAAATATAAGACTATGTTTAACATTTCTCTACCATGATAGCAAGCTAGAAAGCTTTTTCACTCGTAACGATATTCACGATTATTCGAATAATTTACCACATCTCATCTAATCTTATTGCAAGTGATTTTTACTGTGATCAGCAATAAAATATTACACAGCCCCATTCCTACTTTATCATGAGTGAATTGACCTCTGACCTAATTCTATCCAAACATACTGAAATCCATAGCTACCTTGTTATGAAGAAGAACCTGGGTCTTGTCCGGTGTCAGATTGACATCGACTGAGTTTGGTGGAACTGTAATCTTAAGCATGACAGTGGGATAACGGTTTCGCGCTGAGTCATCTGGATACTGAGCGGTGTAGTGTTGACGCAACAACTGACGATCCATCACACAATCCAACGAGGAGATGCAGAGGTTTTTTTAAATAAACATAAAAGAATGGTATTAGAAACAAAATAATATTCTTTGTATGGATTGTTTTGTATGGATTGTTTTGTATGGAGTTATCTAAAATTATTACCTTCATTATATCTTTGTGGTGGACAGGCCGGTTGTTGACGTATATAAATGTTTTGTCCGGGTTAGAAGAGCTTGTAGAGGAGTAATCTGCTCCAGGCTTTGGAAAAAAGCCCTCTAAAACAATCTGAAAAAAAAAAAAGGTTTATGATCAATCACAAAGTCGGTTTAATATACAAACTTTCCGGTAAGGAACCTTGACATTATTAAATAACTAACATCATAACTTTATCATCATTACATTTTCAATTAGAACGGCACGGTTGATCCATTCTGCTGACAGTACAGCTGCACAGCTGGGAAGGAAGCCATTAATTCTGCTTGTGCGCATGCAAGTCGGCACTCAGCAGCAAGAATGGCATACCAACATACACTGTCACGGCATAAAGAGGTTGAGTAGTACATCTTAAATCCCAGAGAAGCGCACTACACTCATCCCATCAACTAATTTACATTTTTGTTGACATTGGCTTAAAATGTACCCATTTCTAAATGTCGGATAAAGAGGTTATTTCATATAATTGCCAGAAAAAGTTTTTTGAAAGAAAAATTCATGATCACTACTTTCATTAAACTACAGGGTTTTATTCAAATCTGGTGTTATTATGTGTTGCCTACAAAAAATTGAAATGCCTTATAAGTTTGAATTTTGTGTACATGAGGAAGATTGTTAAACTGTGTATTTGTTTGAATGAAGTTGCCTTGTAATCCATATTTTGGGATATGATTTATACTATATGCTTCATAAACAGTCAAACCAGGACAAAAGTTGTGCAGTTGACAGAAGGACAATACAAAGACTAATATTAAACTCGTTCTCATAGTAAGCAGTTTGTAATTTCCTCTCAAGGTTATCAACTTTCAGGCAAGTCGTATATGATCACGTTTCACCAAGAATCTTGCCAGAACCACTCTTCGTGAGCTGAAAGTGATTAACCAAATTACAACTGAACAATTGCACCTAAAACTGAATCATCATCATCCTGAATGTAAGCTAGTAAAAAATGATGGAAGGCTATTAATGCTCTACAGATTGCAAGCGGCATAGCTATGCCTTTTTTCCACATAGCCTAGGGCTCATTATTAGCAGCAACGCACGCCAATGAAGTTAATAAATGAACTGCTGTTTCAGGACGGGGCACATGTGCTTCTCTCTATTTCTGCTCATTAGGGTCACTTTATGAGAGCACGAACGGCACCTCTGGCCCCAAAGGACCGTGGCTATGTGAAGTCATGCTGCCAAAAACGAGTGTCACATTTTGTTCTGCAGTAGAACGGCTCTTAAGATTCTCCCGGAGCGAGGCCCCGGTGAAATTGTCAACCTGGTTCCCTTGATCACTAAGCTTTGGTGTTGGGGACAAAGAGGACAAAAGTTTTCTTTCATTGCTACAGGGAGTAGGAGGAAGAGGTGAAAGGTCGTTCTCATAACTGGGCACAGAGGTGCAGCAGCATAATAACAACAACAAAGAGAAAAATGAGAGAGAAACAGGGTGAAAAGGGCTGCTCCATATCTGTCAGAGTGGATTAGCTGGCAGCCTGGCAGCAGGTACGAGCCACATGACATCTACCGTGACCAAGCAGAAAGTTACTGCTCGACCATAATTTGATTATGACCAGCGCAGCAAAGCTTAGCTAACACAAATCTCTCACTTTTCATCAGAAAAGAACTCAAGATAAAAGGGCAAGGGAACAGTTGGCCAGTCACCAACTGACCACATGTGCTGGCTGCAGACCAGGCGTTCATGATGAGCTCACGGTCAAGTATAACGTGCATGCACACATTTGCTCTGCTCTTTATAAAGCAAATACAATTTGTCAAAATGACTTCAGGAACATTCCTGAAATAAATAAAATCTGTCCCAATTGTTAAATTGATTTGAACCTGAAAAGGAGACTGACATAACATTAAGATGGATTTGAAAAATGTGCTTTTTTAAGGGGGCAAGTTTGTGTATTATGATGAATTACCATAATTGCCACACAATGAAGGGCAAAGGGGCATGGGAACCTCAGTGTGAGAGCAAAGAGTGCAAGTAGTGTAGTGGAGGTGTGTGGGTCGGCAGCTTACGGCTTTGTGCCAAATTAAATCGTATTTATATAGCACATTTTTAAAACGATTTTTGGTTGAGCCAAAATGCTGTACATACAATAAAAACACTTTACTACAATAGCAAACAGAAGACAACAAATTACAACAGCAAAAATAAAAATCACATACAGGGTAATGTCAGGAATCGTGCTCCGCTCAGACTAGAAGGCCAGAGAGAAGTGTAGATTTAAAAACCCTTAGTGTCTGGGCCGACCTCACGTGGAGGGGCAGAGTATTCCAGAGCCTAGGGCCAGCTACTGCGAAGGCTTGGTGCCCTCAGGTTTTGAGCCTGGTCTTGGGCACTATCAGCAGCAGCTGGTCAGCAGACCTTAAAGCTCTGGCTGGGGTGTAGCGATGGAGGAGTTTGGCTATATAGGCCGGAGTCAGCCCATTTAATGCTTTAAAAACAAATAAAAGGAGTTTAAAATCAATTCGGAACCGAATTGGAAGCCAGTGCAGTGAGGCCAGAATTGGGGTGATGTGGTCACCTCAGCCATGCAATGTGCCTGTGACGCTCATCTGTCTGAGTGCATTGCACTCCAAGTAGTCTCTTCACATTCACGCCACCCTTTTCTTAAGAATAACAAATGTGACTTTGACCATAAGGCAGTCAGACAGGTTTAAGGAACATTTCACCTCCGAAATGGTCATTTTTAAATAAATTCCTCACTCTGTGTTCACTCTTACTCACTCTTAGATTATACTGCAAAAGTTCTTTAAAAGTTTGTAAGCAGATATTTTGTATATCGTTTTCTTTTGTTCATCAAGGATTCTTCATTCCCCGTAGAGGTATGCAAGAAATATCATGAAATCAAGGATACATGAGGGTGACTTCCTGATTTATAAATGGTTATTTTGTGGGGGAAATATATATCAAACTGACTTGTCAAAAATGTGAAATTATATTTGTAGCTTGTGTAAAATTTGCATTGCAGCCAAAGAAAACTTTAACAAAATGTATTCGCTATATTTCTCTCTGACCTCGGCATATTTGCCCTTAACTGACCTCTGGTTGCTCTTGGCGATGGTGGCAAGGGAGCAGGTTGGCAACGGTGCTGGCCCCCAGTGTAGCAACGAGGGCACTTCTGTGATCGGCCACCTTGGCCTTCTGCCAAACCACCACCTGCAAACAATATGACACCAGTCAACCTCCATAAGTCCACATCAGGCGGATCACACAGCATAAACCCCCCGTCAAGTTAGTAACTGCAGCAGCACACATACCTGCAGAGCATACATTTTGTTTCAGTCATGAGCTTCAGCAAGAGACACACAAACACCAGCATGAACAGAAGCCTTATCAGAGCATGTCAAAAATGTAGGGCAGGGAACATTAAAGACATGGTAAATTAATGGCTTTAAACAAACCATGCTTTTATTTCATATCAACAAGAACTGTTGTATTATTTACACTTTGAACACTATACAGCAGTAGAAATATTGGTGTGGATACAAATATTAATATACAGAAGTGTTAAACATTACAACTGTGCACTTTTGTTTGGGGGCAAATTAAGGTTTTTACTTATTTATTTCATTTTATGTGTTTACATAAATTTTTTCATACCCCATGTTAAATCACTCCTCATAAACCACTTGTATACAGCTGCATTTAATTCCGCTGATTTTGTATTTCTTTTTTTTACCTATTTATTTACTTTTATGACTGTTGGTTTGAATTCATTTTATTGTTTTTATATCAATATTTGACATTGCACCTGTAGTTCTCGATTTGCTTCCTGACACTTTGTATCTTTTCCCATCTTTGCTCTGTTTTATGCATATACAACACTTTGCAACTCTTTTACTGAAAATACATTTTAGAAATAAAGTTATTATTTAAGGTCATAATGATTTTCCTAAGCATTACAGAGAATATTGACCCCCAGGAGTTAGCTTATGTCCACCATTGAATATATTTCGCGGGTGTTGATTTCTAAAAGCATGCACTCTGTTGCAGGGCATGTCTCGGCTATTAAATACGCAATTTAGCGCATGTAAATGGATCACTCCTGTAAACGGTTTTTCAAGAAGCTGTGAAACACGACACAGTACAAATAGCAGAGTTGGAGATACAGTAAGGGATAGGGGCAATAGACTGCTGATTGCACAAAAAAGGTTCACTAGCTTATTCTGAGTCTGATCACATCCAACCTGATTTCTATGAAAGTTATAAGGTGGTCGTTTGGCCCCTGTGTGACCCACACCACACCAATCCTCTGGCTGCAGCTGAAACCAAATCTGGGGTTAAGTGTGCAGCTGTGTTCAGCAACTTACTCAGGCATCATAATCAGAGTTAACAGTCAGTAATGTTTGTGTTCGGAGCACCTGACAGTTACGCTTAGCTGCGGTGGGAAAGAGCATAAGGGATGGAAATGTGTAAGGGCGAAGGTGATTAAAAGTAACCAAACAAAACTGGCCTAAAATCATGCAACCTAAACATACTTCCAATGATAAATAATGACTGGTGTTTAGGTTGATGATAAATGCTGTCAATACAATTTTACATTGTGGAATATAATGCATTTCTTTGGTATGTGTGTTAGTTATTGTGAACTACGTCACCCAATAATCAACTTGTTTATTGGCTTTCCATTCACTAAAGGACATAAACAGTCCTCAAAGCTACACTTCCTATGTTGCAATTTAGAAATCACTTTTCGTCAGTGTTTTTTATGAAGGAAAAATTGTCACTGTTCCCTGTTGAGTCAAACTGAGTGGTTGGAAAGATTCATGCATGTCATCATTATACATTAGAGCTGCAACCTTAGTTTACTAATGGTCAGTTGACACAATATTAATTGGCAACTCATTTGATAAACTATTGATTGTGAATACAATTGTTCATGCCCGAATCTTAAGAAATACTGTTATTAGTATCTAGAATATCCGTGCACATCCTTTCCCAAAATATTTCACATTATCAAATAGGTGAAGTTTTCACCGGGAAACATCGTATGACAAAATGGCATCATCAAGTATTTTTGTCCCCCCCAACCCATGTGTCTTGTTTTTAATGATTATGTTCATTGATTGATTTACCACATTAAAAACAAAAACAAATGTCAATGTTTCTAGTGCAGCGCAAATGCAGATAATTTCATGTAGGTTATTTCTCTTAATGTATTATGTTGTAATCATCTTTCTGACTCCTTTCGAATGTTTAGTATAAATATAATTATTATCATTATTATTATAAGAAGTGGTAGCAGTACAGTTAAAGTGTAAAGGACCAGAACTCCTTGGATTCAAAACTTTATTTCCTCCAATATGAATTAAACTTGTAAAGTATGGCATTTTACATGTGCTTGTACACATTGGCATTGTCTCAATTAAGACCGCACATACATCACTGTGCCATAAATATATGGCATATGAACAAAAACTGAGGGAGATTTTGAGCCAGTGATGTGGGAACAGTCATTGGAAGACTGATGAGGACACCTTGTGGTTGCTGTGCGTTAAGGACAACACACAGTATGAGAAGTGATTAAAATGTATTTTATGTGTTCTTTAAACCAATTTTCCAAGGCCCCAGAGTAGGGGTGGGCAATATGAAGATATAGATATATATATCTATATCGAGACTATATTAGGTCTCCACGATATGCATATCTATCGTGATAGTGCACCAGGGTAGGTTTGTACGTCCTACGGCCACCATGGCCTGCGTGCCCCTGATACTGTTAAAATCTCGAAGTTGCTTTAAAAGCGTCAGAACAGTGGTTTCTGAACTGCGTTATGCTGCGTTCACAACGGACGCAATGCGAATATTCTCACCGAGTATCACCGCGGCTGTCAGCTGTGTTTACTCCTGTCATTCAAACAGGACGCGCTGGAGAGGGGGCGGAGCTTATATCCATGTAAATACTGTAGTGGAAACCAACTACGACAAAATGAACCTATTTTACCGTGATTTAATGTAATACACGTTTCAAAATGATGCCGAAGTAACTAAATACTGATAACGGTTAGTAAAAACCAAGCTGTCTAGTCAGGATTCAGAAAGTATTGCACTTCATTTATTGTCTTGGTTGATTCTGTTGGCTTATATTTTATTTTATCAATAAGGTATTTATATTGTTTTTCCCTTTTGAAACAGATGTTCAGTTATGTTAAAGTCTTTGATTGCACTTCAAGTCTAAAGTTTACATTTTAATTGTTTGGCACTGACTTTTCCTTATTGATGTTTTATGTTTAACTTAGTTATGTTTTACTCTCCTTTTCATGTTTATTGATGTTACATCACTGCGTGCTACCTAAAACAGAAAGTGAATTTTTATACTGAGAAACTGTGCCTTGAATATTTTATTTTATTTAGCAAGAGAGTGCACTTTACTTGGTGAAGAAACCAGTGTTGACGTTTGTTGTGTAGGGTGTAGGCCTACCTACTTGAACACTGAGGAAGCCATATCAAAATTCCTGTTGAATTGTTCATTCAGGGATTCATTACAGAATTAAAACCAGCTTGAAATGCTATTTTGGTCTGTTACTCCTTTTTATTTTAGTTGTTTGTTACCTTGTAGGTGGTTGTACTGTTAAGTAACTTGAAAAATAACCATANGACGTGCGTGAGCGGAACTCTCCTCTATTTAGGGTAAACGTTAAACTTTTAATACAAAAGTGGCCGACTTCTCATCCACGATTACGTCACTTCCGCTGCCTAAAACCCAGGAGGTATACGATCTAGCACTACACACACACATTTATATTGCTATAAATGTGTAAACATTTTAAGATTTAATGCATTTTAATCTGGTGCACATCCTTGATTCAGTTGTGTGTTTCTTTATGTGTTTCTCATGTGTGTACGTGTGCTTGTCCAGGAAATGGAACTGTCTGTGGAAGTAATCTTCCTGTTCTACAGTATTGTGGGTGCAGTGACTTTGATAGTAATGTCATGTCTGGCCGTGTCCGCCCTGCGTTCCACAAAGAGTGAGGTAAAAAGAAAATACATTAGAAGTACTTTTGTACACATTACACACTGTGCTGAGAATGTCTTACAATATTTAATGAGCCTAAACAGAATTGCCCCAACATGAGTAGGCCACTGTTACAGTTCTTTCTCTTCTCTTTAGGCCATTATAGTGATGACTGCTGCACAGGCTGAAGCACCAGTGGAATAACAAGAATAAGAGAAACGTCTGAAGCAGGATAAATGTCAGAGAGAAGCAATAAGAACCGCACAATAGGATTTATGATTGCAAAATAGCATTTCTAATTATTTGTTGGCTATATAGAATGAAATACAGGCATGTGAGTATATGTATTGCCTTTTGGTGTTTATGTGATATATTACTGCTTCCACCAGCCTGTGAGCATTGTATTTCATTCGTTTGAACATTTGCCACCAGATTCAACAGGGTGATAGCATTGATGTTTTACTTTCACTGCTCAGGCAATTAACTGATACTAACTCTGGGTTCTACCTGTCAGCACATTGTATTTGCACTTTTATGCAACAGGACAAAGGTCTGAGTCAAACCAATGTCTCTCTGATATGGTTAAAGAACGTTTGTGTGGGCTGTTTTAGTTTCTCAAAAAACACATAAATCAATGTTCAATGTTTGCTCATTTGTACCACATTTGATATACTGTATCTAATTATCTTTATCAATGGTTTATAGATCATTTACTGATACTTGATGTATCAGTTGTATGCCATTATTTAGAGCATATTTTGTGTTGAGAAGCTGTTATTCTTCTCCAACATGATTTTATATGCTTTGTATCCAAACATTTCAGCGATTCTAATAGTGTATATAAAAAAAAAAGACTCATCATATTAGAACAAGTATTGCATACTTATCACTATTCAAGGTTTCTCACTCACAGAAGCAAACGTTTAAAAGTCTTTGATTGAAACCTTAATTCTTCATTAATGCTTAATCATTTTAGAGCCGCAGACATGACGGCTCAATAGAAAGTGAGTATTTGTTAATGGTTGGCAGCTATAGGATTGCATTGTTACCAGAGAGTAACACAAAGATATGTCGAGAGAGAGATTTTATTCAAACAACAACACAGTGGTAACATGTGAAAATGAAAATGTATGTTAACAACTCAAGCCATAAACATGTTGCCTCTTGTAAAGTGTTCTTTATTTTTGTATTATCTTAACAAATCCCTTACAGAAGATTTTGGCATGAACAAGACAGAAGCTGCACAGAACCACAAGGCTGTCCTTGACGATGTTTCTCACAATGTCAGCTCATGTTTCAGCAGCAGCAGCAGCAGCAGCAGCAGCTTTAAGTACCCCCAGTCTGCACTTACAGAGGACAGCATGTAAGACATTTCACTCATAAATTAAGTTATATGAAGGCAAGTGTGATTCAAATCATAAATTGTCTGTACCCTTCCTGTGTAACTGTCACTTTAAGTTTGCTTAAAACACTTTAATTGTCATTTAAATGCTGGTTAATTTCACCAAAACAAATGAAAATCTCTTTATATATGTTATAGGCCTATATATAATATATATATATGTTTTAAGAGTGTGTACACTAGGGTTAGAAGCATAAACAATTATTAATGTCCGCATATCAGAAAATGAGTATTTCACAGTTTAAATACAGAATAAATTAACACATAAAACATACATGCCATTACATAAAACGTTCATAATGTTGCAACGACATTAGATAGTGTATGTAGCTTTTTTGTAAAACCAAACACCATTTATCATAAAGACACATTCATCATGATGAAATATATGAACAGTAAGAATCCCTTCTGTATTACACACACTTTGGCTCCCATGAAACAAAGGTTAAAAGGACCTGCATAAAATGCAAAATCTGAAGGAGAATTAGGTAATAATGTTCTTTTCATTCGATTATCAAGCCATTGCATTCTTTCCAAAAACAATAGTCTGACATCCTCCACTTGGTGTAAACAGGGAGTATGAGTTACATTCAAGACACATGTGACACAATAACAAAAGGCTTTGTAACTTTTCAACCTGTCATACAGAAGTAAGTTATAAAGAAATAGTAGCTGTCTGCAAACAAAACCTCATGATTAATTACAATGTAGTGCAATGTAAATACACACACTTTTTAACTCAAAGTCAAATGTAATGTAAATCTGATAAATAATTAGCATTGACAAAGGATAAAAAGTTGACAAAAACAGGATAACATATTGTAAACTATTGTAATCACATGCACTACCACCTACACACACACACACACACACACACACACACACACACACACACACACACACACAGAATAATAACAGCTGCTCTTACATGCCTGAACTGCAGTCAATAGTTCACTTTATATAAGTCCGTATCTGAGATGTGAAGGCTATAGGTGAATAATGGACAAACAAATAATTTTCTAACAGTTATGCATTGAAGATAACTTTTATGGGTCGGGAACACTAGCAGTCAAACATGAATGTACTGTCGCGGACTGTCAAAGAAAAATCAACGTCAGATTATTCAGAAAGTATCAGAAGAAAGGTTCGATATATTTCCATGTATCAACTCAAAGTAAATTATACTTTGAAAAGAACCGATCTACACATCACTCCTGGGGCCAAACACGGGGCCTGTCTTTTATCGACTGGTTATGAAAAAGGCAAGGCATGTCAGTCATGCGTTGGACGGCTACTCTTGTTCCATATTCAAGGGTGCTGATGCAGGTTCTGATATTGCTCAGCGAATATAGCCAGCTAACCATACACCCTTAGCTCTTCCAGACTGTGTTTTTTAAGTGTGTACTAAAAAATTATACACAGGACAGCAATTTTTTTCCTTGGTGTTTACTGTCTCTGGTCTGTCAGCTCTGCTCTGTGGGTATGTGTGGGTGTTTGCCGGACACTGGCACTCGAAACACGAGATCAGAGGATATTAATGATCGTGTGACATTTTAGCAAAGGTGCTCATAAAATTAATATAGAGTAAAAACTGGACACTCGATCTTAAACCTCTGGGTAGCCATGCACTAAAGTGAAGGTGCTCCTCCATATTTACAAATGACTGATATTTACTGCATTTATCTGCTGGTTGAGATTGGTTGTTCTTCATAACATGACATGTTGTGTCAAAAAGTATTTTCAATTCCCCTTTTCCCATTACTTGGTATGAACAATGTTATTTCAATGCACATGACCACTGTTTACTCTCATCGTTAGCCTTTGGAGGGCAAAGATATCCATGAACTTTATTTTAATTTGTCCATCTAATTGCCTTCCATACATTTGCAAAATAAGTATAAGTATAGGCTCCATACGGGCCTACATACAGGAAAAGACATTTCACTTTTGAGGCCTGTCCTCTAAGAAGCAGGGTGCCTTCAAAAGTCACTCAGGATGACACAGCGCTGGTGAACACGCATGTGCTCTGTGACACGGTACTGGCGGGAAAAAGTCATAGGGCAGCAGGGGCAGGGGAAGGGCCGGACTCCAAGGTGGCTCCGCACATGTCTGTTCAGTGAGCCGCGCTGACTGAAGGAGCGCTCGCACAGAGAGCACTGGAAAGGGTGCTGAACAGGGTTAGAAACTCGAGCAGATATAGTTGTTGGCATACTGGCTGACCGGGAAGAAGGTATGCAGACAGACAAGATTGATGACATCGAGGCTTGCACAGAGTCTTGCACATTAGGAGGTGAGCAAATTGTCATGGCAGGAGTCTTGTTATCACAATCTTTATGTTTGGAAACCCTCTTCTCAACCGCAGATTTATGTATAACCTCAATCTTTGGCCTGCTTCGGTCTTTTCCAACAGATTTACTTTTTTTGACACTTGTTTCTCCAGCCCAATATTTAGAGTCAACACCTGCTACAGATGTTGCTTCACTTAATTGCTCTCTATTATTCTTCCTAAACCCGTTTCCAAATGTTTCCTTTTGGCGTAATGGATTAGCAAATAGGAACTCGGTAGGTTTGGCGCTAATGTCCAGCAGTAGAATCTGGTCAGTAGTCCTTGTTGAAAAGTGCTGCCTCAGAGAACTGTAGCCTTGACTGGCAAAAGTCCCAGCCTTCTCCTCATCACTGGACGGGTATGAATGATCGGGATGGTGGGAGTGTTTGCGGCCAGAGTATTGGTGTGATAAGTGTCTTTCCTCCTCTGGTAGGCAGTGATACTCAAGGTGTCCACGGTATGAAGGCTCAACAACACTGTATGTTGGGTCAGACATGTTGTGAGCAGCAGGCATTGTTAAGGTGAAGGGCGGCTCTTTGATATCAATGCCTGGCATATTTTCTGGTTCTACAGATGTGGGACAATCAAAGCTGGAGAGACCGCCAGTGACATCATCCAAACATGATTGATGTGTCCGAGAGACAAGCTGAAGGACATTGTATCTCTTGTCCATCTTGGCTGTGTTTCTGTTGACTGTCTCATATTCTTCCTGACTGTGTTCCTCTTTCACGTCTTCCTGGGTACACACATCTTCCCAGAGGGAATCACTTCCTGTGTCTGAGTCCAGTGCAGGAAGTGGGGCTTTATTCCTCAGATCTTTTGACTGAATGGATTGTTCCTCTGCTGCATTGGCCATCCAGACCTTTTGGTAATCAGAGCAATCCATTCGCTGATGTTTGAAGGGGAAATCCTCGAAAGTATCATACATTTTATACTTTAACCCTCTGGTGAAATTGCTGCAATCCATGTTCTGTGAATCATCCCTAATAAGTTTAATGTATTTTTTATTAACTGAAACACAATGAGCATGAGGATCATTAGGATCTGTAATGCTCATCTGTTCACTATTCTGTCCTGTTAAATTATATGAATTGCTAATGTTGTAATCCTGTTTGAGGGTGTCCGACTGATCTGAAGTTTCCTTGTAATCCCAACTCTGTGCCCCAATGTGGTCTTTATTGTTTATGTAAGCCTGATTCTGTGCCCCATGAAGATTTCCGTGTGTGGAGGTAATACCCTCATCGATGTTGTCACTGTCTGTGCTTCCTGACCGAGAGTAAGGGGCCCTGCTGGAGCCGGCTGAGGATTGGGATACTCGATGGTAAGGGGGCATTGGTGTCTCTTCTTCCAGCTGGAGCATAGCTGCTCGACTGCTGTGACGGATAACAGGCACACACCCAGAGCATGGAGGTGGTGATGAGGAAGAGGATGATGAGGAGCACTTTGAGGGCGAAACGTTGTCCTTAAGATGGGAGGTTGAGAAATGAAGCAGGGGAGAGTGACGTATCTGAGTTGTGTCTTCTTTTGTGTTAGTTTGCGTGTCTTCTGCTTTACTTGGAAATGTCAAACACAGTCCCTGTTTCTTCTCTTTTCTGCTTGTCTCCTCCTCTTTCTCCTCAGAAGTGCAGAGTTTATTCGACCTCCTCCTGTCCTCAACTGTCCTCTCTAGCTCCCCATCTGTGCTCCCATGGCATGGCTGTGGCTTTACAGCGCCAGCTGAATGACTTGAATGAAACTGATCCTTTTGCACCTCTTTGTCGTCTCCTGACTCCCCAAGCACTTCAACTATGCAAGGGATACTTATAATGATATCCTGAGGTTCTTGTCTGCAGTTGCCTGTGTTGACACTGCTCTCAGTGCTTTCAGATATACTATGACAGGTATTTACCTTCCTCAAAGAGCTTGTATTGTTTCTGCTACAGTGATTTGTACCATTTTTACTGCTACTTCTACTTGGATCTATGTCATTGCATGTGCCCACATTGGCTGAATACGGATGATCCTCTGGCAGATACTTAATAAGGGTTCCAGTGGAGACATTTGCATTATCTCCGGCTTCTGCCTCAGTCTGTTGCCTAGCCTTTAGAGCCCCCTGCAGACCATCCATCTGAAGGTAGCAGGCAGCAGTGAGCAGGTTGTGATACTGGTGCTGGCTGCGAGAGTATGGCAGATCCCCGGTATAGATGAAGTCTAAAAGAAGTGGCAGTACGGAGTCAGACAGACACGGAGCCTGCAGTTCCACCAGGGCGCCAGAAGAGGACAAGATAGAAGCCAACACTGGACTAGAAGCTGCCAGGACACACCTGGGTGCACAAAGAATAAGGATTTGTGTAATTCTGCATAAAATCATGAACATCTGGACATATAACATCCAAAATAACATGAATTTATAATATGTTTTGCCATGATATATTTGTTTGTCTGTTTATGTTGCTCACCTGTGTGCCGGGTAGAGTTCACCCGGGTCCTGTTTTGGTCTGAGCACGACATCACAGAACTGACCTTGTTCTCTTTGGAGGTTCAGACTTGTTAACAGCGATGCTGCGTGGATACTGGCTCCCCAGGCACAGGGTGCCGCCTGCAGAGTACAGAGCGCAGTAGTTGTTGCAGCTTAGATGAAAACATTAAACAGGAGAATGGCACAGAAAAAGCTAAAAATAAGCTTGATTCTTTCATTGTGATAAAACCTAGAGGACATTATTCAACTTCTGAAATCCTCCTCCTGCTGCCTTGATATTATTCCAACAGGATTTTTCAAAGATGTTTTTCGTTGCATGGCCTCAGATCTACTTCATATAGTAAACAAATCTCTTCACTCAGGTATTTTTCCACAGGCCCTGAAAACTGCAGTCATTAAACCGCTCTTAAAAAATAATAATCTAGACGCTTCAGTAATGAACAATTACAGGCCCATATCAAACCTGATTTTTCTAGGTAAAATCATTGAAAAAGTAGTTTTTCAACCGTTGAGTAATTTCTTGCATTTAAATAACTGTTTCGATGTGTTCCAGTGAGGCTTTCTTCCAAACCACAGCACTGAGACTGCTCTTGTAAAGGTATTCAATGACATCCACTTAAACACAGACAGTGGCAGAACTTCAGTGTTAGTATTATTAGATCTCAGTGCTGCGTTTGAAACTGTTGACCACAACATATTACTCGACCGACTAGAAAACTGGGTGGGACTTTCCGCAACAGTTCTAAATTGGTTTGAATCCTACTTAAAGGACAGAAAAAACTTTGTTTCTATAGGTAAATACACATCTGAGTTGACAAATATGACATGTGGGGTACCTCAAGGCTCCATCTTGGGGCCTCTTCTCTTTAACATCTACATGCTACCACTCGCTCAGATAATGAAGAACAACAAAATAAGTTACCATAGCTATGCGGATGACACACAAATTTGCGTAACAATTTCACCAGGAGACTATTCTCCAATTCAAACACTGAGTAAGTGCATTGAACAAATCAATGACTGGATGTGTCAGAACTTTCTCCAATTAAACAAAGATAAAACTGAGGTAATGGTTTTTGGAGCCAAGGCAGAACGTTTAAAAGTTAGACGCTGAGCTTCAGTCTGCAATGCTCAAACAACAGATAAAGCCAGAAATCTAGGTGTAGTCATGGACTCTGACCTGAGTTTCAACAGTCACATTAAAACACTAAATCAGCTTACTGTCACCTAAAGAATATCTAGGATTAAAAGACTAATGTCACAGCAGGATTTGGAAAACTTGTCCATGCTTTTATTTCAGTAGACTGGACTACNGGTCAGCTTTCTGTCCCCAGAGTCAGAACTAAACATGGAGAAGCAGCGTTCAGTTATTATGCTCCAAATATCTGGAACAAACTCGCAGAAACCTGCAGGTCCGCTGCAACTCTTACTACTTTTAAATCCAGGCTGAAGACTTTTCTTTTTGTCGCTGCTTTTAATTGAACTATTCATATCTTAGACTGCACTGTAACTTTTATCCATGTATTTTTTCTTTTAATGTTTATTTTATTATCTTTTCTTTTTAATGACTGATTTTAAATGCCATTTTCTTAATGTCTTTCATTTTTTGTAAAGCACTTTGAATTGCCTTGTGTTGAAAGGTGCTATATAAATAAACTTGCCTTGCCTTGCCTTGCCTTTCATGTGTTATGATGAGACTTAGTTTTTTCTTTGACTGCTTTACAGTCTCTGACTTCTCATGCAACACGGCGTCCCACTCAAAGCTTAAACAGGTGTTAAGACTTTGGAAGGCACTGTATGATCCCACTTAAAGCCTTATGTTCTTATTTCTACCACATGAACAGAACTTGCTCACAACTTCTTGAACAAGCGCACTAGTAGTCTTTCAAAACACCTTAAATCACTTGGAGACATTCATTTTTTTAGGTTTTCAATAAGCATAACTTTAAATAAATGTTTACATTCGTATAATAAATAACTAATTTCAAATATATATATTTCCCCCCAAAAAATCATGACAATTTATTGGCACACTTTTTAGTGAAAGTCAGATAAGTCATAAAAGTAATAAAGACATGTACACCAGGTGTAAATGAAGGTCTTCTTACCTGCATGTTATATGGGAAGAGGAGCAACAAACCTCCAGCAAAGCTCTCTGTGTGCTCTCAGCTATTGCTTGCAGTTGAAAGAGGGAAATAACCTCTATGGAGGCTATATACTCCCAGTCTACTATACGCACACGGTCTCATTCGGAAAATAATCACACGCCTTTCATATTGGAAACTCAGTGTGACGCGGAGGGTCAGGTGCCGATAAGGAGTAATGGAGTGTAACGTCACAATCTCCATGACCCAATATGGAGGGGGACTGAGACCAGCCCCCAGAAAACCAACAGGAAACCACAGAACTGTAGCACACAGAGCCATATTTCCAATCCCATCACGATTACATTACACAGAATATTACGTAACAATACATTTCATGTAGCTGACACTTTTATGAAAGCCACTTACAATTAGTGCAAAAAAACCCATAAAAATACAAATTCAGAACAACAAGAAAAATGCATATATTACTTCTAGGAGGCCAGACCATTGTAATCACTGGTGCATTAGTATAAAATGGGCAAAACTATTTTTTTTATATATATTTAATGGCCAATGTTGTTTTTTGTTAATAACAGGGAAGCGATTTTAAAAAAACATCAAAATTAATTTAGTTTTGAAAAAAAATAGAAACATAACAGATGCTGTCATTCATAATAATAAAAAAGACTTAATTATCTTCGACAGCTTCCTGGTTTATCTCCTGCAGGGAGGTCAGAGGTCATGGTCAGTTTATCTGTAATATGCAGTGAGCTTCAACTTTAGATACATCAACCCACTGTTGACAAAGCATACAAAACTGAATCTGTTATCAAAGCTTTAAATTGTCAGCTTTGATTTACCACTGGAGTCTGCCACTGCATTGTTAGAGTTACACACACGCCATTGCGGATGCACAGAAGAAGAAATCTGTGATCCAAACACTTCTATGTTCTTTACTTCTACACAGGACACTCCTCCAGTGTCAGGACTTGGAGCCGGCCCCTGGCCTACGCTTTGTTGACAACTCCATACTTAGCCATTTCTCCACCCTTCCACACCATGTGCTTGTCACGCCTCTTAATCTCTACAGCACTCTAATGTTACCACCACACGTTCGCTCTCCACTGCTCAGTAGTACATTTTCCTTGGCAACTGTGCAATGGAAATGCTACTGCAGCACACATAACATAGTGAACCATTACGCATTACGTTGCATATATATATACTGTGTATATATAACAAAATAATAACTCAGCACACAACTGACCTAATTTGGTACCAAATTAAAATGCTGTATCATTAAAATTAAATAATTTAAGAGACTCAACTCAATGTAATTATAATGTTTAATACTGAAATGGAATAGAATTCACAACCACTATTTTTGCTTTATGTTGACCATAGTTGTAAATGCAACACACTATAGTGTTATCATTGTACTAGTATCTACTATAGTGCTTTAGCTATTTGAACATGTAGTGAGATGCTGGGTTATAATGTAGGTGGTAAAGAATACGTAATTTTACCGCAACATACAGGGTTTGATTCCTGCTGCTCCACATGTGGATGTCACTGCCCACCCCTGTCCCTCAGAAAAACAAAAATAATATACTATTATTAAGCAATAATGACTGACACGCACACCCAAACACGTGTGCTCAACAATGGTGGCTTTGAGTGACACCATTCATAGAGTGATATGTGACAAAGCTCACGTACTGTACTGTACTAGTTGCACACCGAGGTGTGAGGTGTTATTTTCTTCAAGCACTACATCATAGGTCAGCCCTTACATTCAAATCTTATAAAATCCCAATGGGGACATTGTACAATCAGTACTTTGTATATCAAAGCACATGAACTGACACTCAAGGTTATATTTAATTATATTTTATTATTGAAGCAACTGAAGCCAGCATTCTCTGGCACACACACACACACACACACACACACACACACACACACACACACACACACACACACACACACACACACAATGTGTTTGATGTTGTTGAGTACTCCGAACATTCTGTATGACCTTCGAGAACAGTACAAGGGAATAGAAACACAAAATGAACTAGGGAGAAACATAACTAGAAGTCTTAAGTCAAGTAAGCATATATCTGTGTTTAGCGCACAGTATTATTAAAATGTATTTCTTTGATAGAAAAACTGAAATACTGGAAATTGAAATGTTGACCGAAGGATGGCACTAGAAGAGTGGTCAGGCAATTATAAGAGATGCAAATAACTAAGGAAATATATTGTGCAATTGCACAGATGGACGAAAGGGACGAGCCAATTGATCACCAGAGCCATCCCTAGAAGCATGTATGATTAAAACGTATCCTAAAAGCCTTTATTTTATACATTTCAACTGGCTTTCTGAATTGAAACCCACAGTAAACATTGATGAAATGTCATGACAAAATAGTGTACCTTATTAGTCCTCAAAGATCATAAGATCCAATGCTAAAAAGGTACAGATGGCACCTCGGATAGAAAATACACTGCATAGGATGCTAAAACAACTACGTCAACACATCGTGCTATACCCAGCTGACTAGATACTCTACCAACCCTGCTTTGCAACACCTCCAGTACAAAGCTCCAGCTGTTTATCTCTTGTCCCAGTTCCATTTTTATGTATCATCTTCATCTCACACTCTCTATTTTACTCTCACATCCAGAACATTGTAGTCATGATATGTCTTGACTGCTATTTTTAGTTATTTGGCATGACACTGTACAACCTTATCCCGTACATTAACACCCTTCAAAAAACACACACGGTAGCAGCAGACAAGCAGAAGTGGAGCAGTAATTCAAATTAGATTGGCCTTGGGGCATATTGTATATTGAAAATAGAGCAGCGCTGGTTCATTACCAGATGGCGATTTTTGTTCTGGAACAAATATTAATTGTTTGTCCCTGTTTTCTATAAAGGCAGAAAAGAAAAGAAAATGTATGAATGTCAAGTCATTTAAACAGCTTTCTGGTCTCTCTGGTCTATCTGGTTTTGGTTTGATTTTGCCCACAAGTTGAGGAAATGTACTTTGTTAAATTCCAACACTACAGGTCAAACAGATAAATGTAACTTTTTATTGCATTTGAACACACTCATAACACGTCCACTAGATGGCGGAGTGTGTCCTATGCGTTTCCTGGTTCGCAGTCAATACAGTAGGCCTGTCTCTGCCTGTCAGGGGTTTCATAATTGTTCATTAGTAAAACACTTTTACACTTTTTGCCACATGTGAAGCTTTTCTTATTATTTTGTATCAAACCTTTAGGGCATCTAATCTAATCATTCTCAAGGTACAACAATTAGTGAGTGTTTTCTGTTTGAGTGGAGCAATCTGTCAATTTAATAAACTATCCATTTTCGAAACTAGCAACTGAAGCATACAAAACTATACATTCACCCATAAAGTAAAATATGTAAGCATGCAATAAACATCTTAAACATATTAATCCCAGCATTGATTTGGAGTCTATGGGGCACAAGATAGCTTTCGGAAAGATAGTCTAAATACAAAATAAATACAAAAAGTGTGGTTTTTTTTGTTCAAATCAAATAGACTTTGGGCCAAAAATGAAAAAGAGATGTGTCTGATATCTGATACAGATTTGAAGTCACTGGATTACATGGGAGCTGTGAGAACAAAAGTTAACTATTAATGAGCACGAAGATATTTAGAATAATAGTGGTTTTAATACATTTAAACTATAATATATTCATGGTCCCTATCGTAAAACACTGTGTGTAGGAGCGAGGGATCGGTTATGAACTAATCGTCCTCTTACTGCAGACAGACTGTGATCCTTACTAAAAAGACCGGAGTGAATGTTTGTCCAATATCCTACCCATAAAACTAACTTCTCCTCGGTGAAACATGTCAAATACCAATGAATGCTCCATTTAAAGTAGTCCTATATATACCAGAGAGTGAGTTGCTCACTGTCAACTATTCGAGGAAATGGGAGTGGGGATGAATTTCCTCGTAATCATGGCGCAACATTTCCCGTAACAGCTTTCATATCAGGAAGCCTTTGAGACTCATTACATGTAAAACACGCAGCACGTTCCCACGAAATGGGTCGGTGCTGCTGAGTTGGTTTAGTGTTTTTGAAATAGAAGTGGAATACATCGTTTCTAAATGGAGCCAAACAGGTAATGTCGACTTTAAGAAGTTGTTACTTCAATAATCCTATCATTAAAATAACGCTGATATTGTGTTTGATTCAGGCGAGCTCGCGACAGGATGCCTTTCGTCCTGCTCATTTTAGGGAATATTGCAACAGCTCTCTCTGGTACGTATATTGGACAGTGTTTTATATTCTATATGCAATACATAATTCTCATAATTAATGTATTGGTGTTTATGTATGTTTCAGGACTGACTCTTAACTGTACCAACGACTACGAAAAATTTATGTTTTGCCAACTTGAAGCTCAAAACTGCACTGAATACCATATGATTCTACAAAACGACTTCTGGGAGAACAAGTGAGATGTTGTTTTTAATTGTTCACCCCCGCAATGTAATAGGGTTCTTCTACTACAAAGCTAGTTAATTTATTTACACTATCGGTTTATGAGCAATATCAATAGTGCCGATTACGATTCAAGATTCAATCGGCAGTGGTTCCCAACCCTCTTCCTCAAAGGTCACTTTATTATTGATTAAAAATAACGACCCCTGACCAGAGGTGGGAGCTACTCAGGTCTTGAATTTGAGTAAAACAAAAAGTACCAGAGTGTAGGAATATTCTGTTAGAAGTGAAAGTCCTGCATTCAAATGTTACTCAAGTAAAAGTAGAAAAGTATTATCATCAACATATACTTAAAGTAATCAATATGCAGAGAGGTCATTTTTAGAATAATATATATTTTATGTTTTGATTATAATTATTGATGCATTAAAGTGTTATCAAAGCTGGTAAAGGGGCAGCTAGTTTTAATCACTTTGTATACTGCATGTAGCTTGTGAATTTACTCCAGGTGTAACTAAAGTTGGATTTAAGTGTTGATTATATTTTACATCATTAATCCAAATCTGCAAAGTAACT